ATTTAAACAACAACAACAACAGAATGTGAGATGAGAAGCTTTAAGAAGAAATCAATCGTTTTAATTAAGTAACTCTGAACATGAACATTTATATTTAGTTCCTTTTAATTGTCCAATCTACAAAACTATCGTTACTCGTGTTTTTGTTGTTGTTTTTTGTTGTTGTTGTTTGTTTTTTAACTGTTTATTCAGTTACTTTTTCTTTGAATAAGTTTTTTTTTCGTGTACCTTTAAATAAACTGGTGATGATGAAAACTGCTCAAATGGTTTGTGCTTAGGTCGAAAAAACTCATATAATCAAATCTAAAGTCCACTGATTCCCAAAAAGCTATTTTGTTTTCATTTTTTCTTATTTTTAGTATACTGTTACAGTTCCAAAATGGTACGCATTTGCCATATCTCTAAACCATGCTTTGCCATTTCTTCTATTAGAAATGTTTTGTTGCTTGAATGGAAGTCAAAACACTACATTGTTTACACTTTACTACTTTTATGGCACATTATTACACATTCAGCACCATTTTTTACACGTGATACGCATCTTATATGGTCTAAAACGATTATTAAAATATTAAAAAACGCATGTTTGCCTTTTCTTGAGAGAAAGAAAAACATAGTCATCTCTAAGGCTTAATGTGCACAACATGCCTGATGTATGGTGGCTGATTTCTACCATTTCGTGTCTTCGCCCCTCTAAAGTCGAAGGCGAAGACACGATAATGTGCTCATGTATCGTAAAGTGGCGAAGACACGAAATGGCAGAAATCAGCCACCATATTGATGAGTGAATTATTGAGACTGCTTGTTATCTCTTCATACACATTAACCCGTGCATTAATGATTGTTCTTCCTCATTACCATACAGCAACCATAGTTAAAGTATAAAATCGCGAACTTCGGCACATGTAACACATTCTACCCAGTGATTTACGTAGCTATAAAAAGTTATAAACTCGGCGTAGCGTAAAATAGAAACCACGATTATCAAGGACGGTTAATTCCCATAATGAACAACTCTTGTGCTTTCCTTATTTAAGATGATCTCTTCACATTATCTTACACTTCATGTACTTATATATGTAATAGACATTTCCTGCTTAAATACATTAACATTTCATTATTTATCAAAGTATGAAAATTTAGTGAAAAATGCAACAGTTTCACTGTTTAAAAAATGTTGCGTTTTTTTTCCTGATAATATTAAGTTACTCCGAATGTCATTTCGTTAAAATACCTTTAGATTTGCCAAATTTTATACAGCTGTCGGTAGAGCTTTGGACTGCGAATCGGGCGACCCGTGTTCGATTCCCGGACGGCGCATGTCACTTTCGTTGTGATTGAAATCTTTTCACAGTCATTCGACCTGTACATCTGCTCTTGCATGTACAGAAATAATCAGTTCCTTGCGAAAGTGAAAGCAACTAGTACTGGTAAACTGCTTGACAGATAACGATACGGTGGCTGAACTGTGGTGAATTCAATGTGGCTTACTGTCGTGATCCGGAGTGAAAACTACCACCACCACCACAATAAAGTAAACGTCTTAAGTTAAAATAAATCCATTCTCTTTTTATGTTTGCATTTAAAGTTTTCAAAACTTCCTCTTTTGGATTTATAAGTAGCATTATGTATATAATTAAAATCTGAATAGCTAATATTTAATTAGTCCCCTACCGGTTTACCGGAGGGGACTTTAGGTTTACCCTCCGTCCGTCTGTCCGTCCGTCTGTCTGGCAGTCCGTCAGTCCGTCCACAAAACTGGATTCCGCGATAACTTGAAAAGTACTGAAAATATTTTTTATGAAACTTGATATATGGATAGATGGCAGTATGGAGATTATGCACGTCTTTTTCTTTTCTTCCTATGTTGAAAATTCTGGTTGCTATGGCAACAAATAGGCTGAAAACATGGCAAATTTTACACATAAACTGGATCCAGTGATAACGCAAAAAGTACAGGAAATATTTTTATGAAACTTGAAATATGGGTAGATGGCAGTCTGGAGATTATGCTCGTCTTTTTCTTTTCTTCCTATGCTGAAAATTCTGGTTGCTATGGCAACACATAGACTGAAAATATGGCAAATTTTACACATAAACTGGATCCAGTGTTAACGCAAAAAGTAATAGAAATATTTATATGAAACTTATAATATTGGTAGATGGCAGTCTGGAGATTATGCTCGTCTTTTTCTTTTCTTCCTATGTTGAAAATTCATGTTGCTATGGCAACACATAGACTGAAAATATGGCAAATTTTACACATAAACTGAATCCAGTGATAACTCAAAAAGTACTGGAAATATTTTGATGAAACTTGACATATGGGTAGATGGCAGTCTGGAGATTATGCATGTCTTCTTTTCTTCCTATTTTGAAAAAAAATGGTTGCCATGGCAACAAATAGGCTTAAAACATGGCAAATATAACAATATTTGTGATTAGTCAAAAAGAGCTGAAAATTTTTATGAAATTGCATCTTTAATTCAAGAGTTATCTCCTCTTTAAGAATTTTGCTTTTAAAAATGTTATATTTTGGTAACAGGGGTGTTTCAAATATTTACTTTAGAGTGTCCTTCAGTCCGTCTGTCTGTCTGTTCATAAAAACTGTTTCCTGTGATCACTTTTAAAGAACTTTTTTAACAAATTTACTTAAAATAGAGAAAAATTTGAAACATTAGTGAATGGCCAATGGCCCCTCAGAATGTTGATGGGGTTCTTACCGGTAGGGGACTTATGAATTGCTTGCAATACTATGATAATTGCCTGTTTGATATTGTTTTCTTCCGGACACATTTTGCCGTTTATTTCTTATTGCGATTTATTTTTCATTGTATAGGCCTTACAAGCGACGATCATGTTTTATGTTTAAATTGTGAATAATAATCAATAATCGAATTAAAATTGTTTTATTAATTATTTTATGTCATCATGGATTATCTTCGGATTAATAAAATGTTTGTTGTGATGATGATTATAGTGTTAGTTTATGGTAAGTTATCTTAGTTTCACCCACAAAATTTATTATTAAAATTCTATGACTTAAATTAAAATCCACTTTTTTTTCTTAAATTGTTTCTGTATTTTCTTTTGAATTACCGCTTTTGTTTATTGTATATTCTAATGAACAGATTAATGGATACAATAAGAATGTGTCCACAACATAAATAACTATAATTTTGTCTAACTGTATTTATTGCCAAATAGCAACAGATGAAAACGATGGCAAGTGGCCAATAAGTAACTTTTTGGAAACTATAAAAAGAAGTACATCAAAATTACAAAAATAAAACTTTGAGAAATAAAAAATAAAATCATTTCTGAGGCACAATGGGCCTTTAATTAATATAGGGCTATCTGACGTTTTACACAATTATATTTGTTGCCGTGCTGGTGGCACAATATACCTTGCGCTGACTTCAATCAGTCATGAAAAACGTATGTTGTTTGTTTGTTTATAACGTTAGTATTATAAAAATAACGGATATCTACAACACATGTGTGTCAGTGTACGATATATAGAGGATATTCAAGTTTTTTTCTATACATGATTTATTTTTATCGAGTGGTATGAACACAAAATATTTCATAGTGGCAATAGCCACGAGTTAAATATGATAATTTCATGCCACAAGATGAAAATTAATCATGTATTTATAGAAAAAAATTGAATTTTCTGTTTATAATATACATTTTTCCCCTTTTTTGACATTATAATTATAAACTTCCCTTAAATTTTGTTGTACTGGCAGAATTTAAAAGTAAGTAGTCCGCAAGACACCAGTGAAAATGCGAAAAATATGTTTCACTGCAGTGAAAAATATTTTTTTACAGTGAAAATACGGAAAATGAAAATACACATTTTATTTCATTCAATATTGCTCAATATTTCATTTGTCAGTATATAATATAATGTTTTAGGCAGCTATAATCAAGCTTTATTGTCGTGACGCTAGATCACAACTAAATATTTTGACAAAGTAAATACTGTTATGCTGTAAGACCTCTATTTATTTTTTTTTGTCTTGTGAATCACAACTCGTTTTTTTTTTTTCAAATCATGAGTACTAGACAATTGACATCTTTTGATCAGAAGGACTTCCAAATTTAGCCTAAAACGATCCAATAATGTATATATCTGTATTCCCTTCGGCACTGTGATCCAATATTTTACTAAATGAGCATTCTTGAAACAATCAGAAAGCTTTGATGTTCGTTTTTTTGTATATGATTACCATAATTTTGCATAATTAACCTCGCTGTTTTAAGAAAAAAGAAACGTCGTTCTGATTCCTGAACTAACTGCATTTTTTAATCTTTCTAAAACCAGAATTATATTCAGCATTCAGTATAACACAGCCCATTAAAGAGGAATCTATGTAATGTTTCTGATATAAGTCGAATAACTAAAGTTGAATTTCATTTAGGTAAAGCTACACATGGACTTGTACGCGTGAAGTAACAGCTGAGAATAGTACCCTCCCAGAGAACAATGTCAGTCCAGAGGGCAAACTCCTTGAGGGTAGAGTGTCAACCGAGGCAACTCCTGAGGGTAGAGTATTCAACCGAGGCAACTCCTGGAGGTAGAGTGTCAACCCGAGGCAACTCCTGAGGGTAGAGTGTCAACCGAGGCAAACTCCTGAGGGTAGAGTGTCACCGAGGTAACTCCTGGGGTTAGAGTATCAACCAAGGCAACTCCTGAGGTAGAGTGTCAACCGAGGCAACTTCCTGAGGGTAGGTATCAACCGAGGCAACTCCTGAGGGTAGAGTGTCAACCGAGCAAACTCCTGAGGGTAGAGTTGTCAACCGAGGCAACTCCTGAGGGTAGAGTGTCAACCGAAGTAACTCCTGGGGGTAGAGTATCAACCAAGGCAACTCCTGAGGGTTAGAGTGTCAACCGAGGCAACTCCTGAGGGTAGAGTGTCAACCGAGGCAACTCCTGAGGGGTAGAGTATCAACCGAGGCAACTCCTGAGGATAGAGTGTCAACCGAGGCAACTCCTGAGGGTAGAGTGTCACCGAGGCAACTCCTGAGGGTAGAGTGTCAACCGAGGCAACTCCTGAGACTAATGTATCACCGGAGAACAGTGCTACATCTGAGCCGAATCCTGGTGGCGAAAGTCCAGAAGGGGAGGGTTCCCCAAAGGAGAGGGATATCCAGCAGGAGAAGGAATTCCAGAAGGAGAGGGAGATCCAGAAGGAGAAGGAAAATTCAGAAGGAAAGGGAGATCCAGAAGGAGAAGGAAATTCAGAAGGAGAGGGAGATCCAGAAGGAGAAGGAAAGTCAGAAGGGGAATCGGAAGGAGAGTTGTATCCTGTGGGGCGAGAGGCTTCCAGAAGTTTATTGGTCCCAAGAAGATAACAGGACGCCAGAGAACGAGAGACATCCAGAAAATGAACCTGAAAAACCTGAACCGGAAGATAATAAAAAAACACCACTATAAAAGATCTCAGAGATACGGATGGTAATTTTTGCCATATGTTTAACTGTTTAACCATTTTTTTTTCATCAATATATTCAAATGCTGAGCAATTGTCGAATTGTCCTTTGACAACGACTTTGGTTGGGCGATACATACACAAGGCAGTAAATAATGCGCATATTTCAGGCATATGTATAATTTAATGCACTTAAAAAACCTAGTAAATTGTTAACTGAGCTCTTCCTTCTAAAATAGAAACCTTAATGAATGCTCTAAACGAAAAACATTTGAAAATATTGCATACTCAGTTTGATTGAGCATGTTGCTAAGTGCAAGCTACCGTCCACGCCTCCCCCATCCCCGGAGCACCCATTTAATTAGTATTCAATATTTCAGCGCGCCATGACAAAACCAACATAGTGGGTTTGCGACCAGCATGGATCCAGACCAGCCTGTGCATCCGCGCAGTCTGATCAGGATCCATGCTGTTCGCTTACCAAGCCTATTACAAGTAACAAAACTGAAAGCGAACAGCATGGATCCTGATCAGACTGCGCGGACGCGCAGGCTGGTCTGTATCCATACTGGTCGCAAAACCCATTATGTTTTTTTGTCGTGACTCGGCTCATTTGAACATGAAAATGGCGGATTTTTAATTGAGAAGAATCTAAACGCCAAGATTTGAACTTTCTTCAGTTATTATGTCTATTTTGTATTTTTAAGAGGTTTTCTGTAATATTTTTGTTATACATGTAGTATTTTTAATCGCGGAGAACATCGACTATATATACATGTAGTTTTGTATTTTAAAATAAAACAACTTTCACCAGACTACTTCTGATCCAGCATAAGACCTTTTGGGGGAATTTTTACACAAGAAATTTAAGAGGTACAAGTGTAATATTTTACATATTTTGTTATCATGTTCACAGTTGAATGGATCATTGAAAATGTATATCCATAAGAAATTATATTTAATCTTCGATTTAGGAAGTAGGTCCTATTTACAAATCAAAACAAATTACTTTCAGTGTTGGAACTAGTTTACAACAGTCGGGTGACCTGGAGAAAATGTCAATTTTACGTAGTTCATGAGCCACGCCATGACAAAACCAACGTAATGCGTTTGCGACCAGCACGGATCCAGACCAGCCTGCGCATCCGCGCAGTCTGATCAGTATCCATGCTGTTCGCTTACAAAACCCAATAACAAGTAGAGAAACTGATAGCGAACAGCATGGATCCTGATCAGACTTCGCGGATGCGCATGCTGGTCTGGATCCATGCTGGTCGCAAACGCACTATGTTGTGTTTTTGTCATGGCGCGGCTCATATTTTTTAATTTCTCATTTCCAAAAAAAAAAGGAAAACTCCAATCAGTGAATGTTCTTTGTATACAAATAATCAGATAAAATCGTTTACCTATTCTAATTGAAAAACGGTTTAAGCATAGTGGTTATAAGCAGCAGTATTTATTTAAAACACTCTCGAATCCGTTCCTGGAACCAACCAGTACTAAGCAATGAGTGTAAAATTTTCTTTTAGGTAATATAGTCAGTCACAGTATGAGAAATACGGAAACTTTCAATGTGTATAAGATGGATATGCATGCCAATAATATATTCCGTGGTACGTAGTCTTGCCAAAATCCAGAATTTATTTCACTAATCGTCCTTTATGAGCCATTTTTATCACCGTGCTTTAACTAGGTTTTTAGACTTTAAATATTATTGTTTGTTTTTGTAGATATCAACTCAGTCAACGAGGCTCTAGAAAAAAACACTGATAATTGTACTTATTTTGTTTACCGTCCTGTTAACAACTTGTGTCTGCTTTCTCTGGAAAGGGTAAGAAGACTTATTAGATATTTTTACAATTAATAATATTACAATAGATTTTAAGACATTTAAGAATGGTTTGTTAAAACACTAAGTCTGCTAGCGGAAACTGGTTCTACATATGCCACCAGAGAAGGCCAAGATAAGCAAACACATCTGCGCTGTCTGACGATGGTGGCGCTGTCTGACGATGGTGGCGCCGTCTGACGATGGTGGCGCCGTCAGACGATGGTGGCGCCGTCTGACGATGGTGGCGCTGTCTGACGATGGTGGCGCCGTCAGACGATGGTGGCGCTGTCTGACGATGGTGGCGCTGTCAGACGATGGTGGCGCCGTCTGACGATGGTGGCGCTGTCTGACGATGGTGGCGCCGTCTGACGATGGTGGCGCCGTTTGGCGATGGTGGCGCCGTCTGACGATGGTGGCGATGTTCGTTATTCTTTCAGTATAAATTTTGAAATTTTACCTAAAATGACATGGACAAGTCAGATAAAAATATTCAACGTGGTAAGAATTAAGATACAGTGTAACTTCTGAAAACCGACTAGCCAAAAAGTTCGGGATTTGGAAGTTTCCGGAATTCAGAATTTCGGAATTATCCGTTGAACACATCAGTTATTTAAGTAATACATGATATATGAATGTGATACAATTTATAAAATGGCAGAATTTGATGATATTTAAAAAAAAGTTTATTATATTTTATAGTCATCTTTAATTGACTTTTTTGATACAATTCAGCGTTATAGCTACAAGTACATGTATGATTATGTTTGTGTCCTGGTTTTATGGGGGAGATTACAGAAAAAAATAAAAATGCTTATTTCGAATTTCGGATAAGACGAACATTCATAGCTCATTTTGCACTTTGGTATGACCGAATGTACAATTGTATGGCTTAAAAACTGGTCTAAAGCTCTTTAAACAAAACAATCAATCATGCATGCCACAAATAGTATTACAAAATATATGACTATTATTTCAGAAAATCTCGCAGAAGCAAAATGGACTTTAAAAAGGAGATACCAGAGTTCTTTGTCGCAGTCGGTCCAGGGGAGTTCAAGCAGACGGTTATTCAGCTACCAGCAAATAAGGAAAAAGTCGGACTTAGCAACTGAATGTCTTTTAACGACGACATGTTTTCAATTTTTCCATTTATTTCATTAATTGAATATATCCAGAGACTCTCATGTTTCTTTGCAATTATTTAGCGACATCTTCATTTCAAGTCCCAGGCGCTTCTGAATACTTTGTATAAGTCTGTTTTGCAAAGTTTACTCATTGACACATTCGTGATTGATATATAATATAGGTAAGAACAATGTAACAGTTATCGTAGTCTTGATATATCGACGAATTGACGTATTCAACCAAGTCATAGTCTTCGACGAGATGTTTTTCGATGCAATGTCGTGCACTGTTGATTAAATATCTGTCCTTTGAAACTTCAGTTTCATACTTCCTTTTTTATGTTGTTACTTGTGCGTTGGTTTTTTTTTTTCGATTTCTTGAGGGAGTTAAATTTTTTAAAGGAACTCGACTGAGGTCCAAAAGCCTTAAAACATAAAATTTGAATTTCCTACAAAGATCGATCAATCACGGCACTAAAACAGGAAGATATGTAAAAGACGAATAAGAAATATACTCAGAAACAAATTGAAAATCGTATTTTTATGATATTCTAAGCCCGATTTGAGTGAAAAGCGTTGTAATAATTATTCTGGAGAAGCGGAGTGAGCGAATGATTTGAAAATTTACACACAAGTCATTAGTTTAGACTTACTTCAAACGAACGCAACATTAATCTCGAAAATTATTTCCCGTCATGTCAGAAAACCTCATTGGAGTCCCTTTAAGACAGAAATAACTGCAAAAAAGTCTTTCAATTAATTTAGGTTATTTATGATATTGCCATTAGAATGTGTCTATTATTTCATGGCATAAAGATGAGAACATTTTTGTGTTGAGGCTAGTTATCTTATTCAAGTTATGTATTTATTTTTTTTTGAAAGTGTTCAAAGTCTTGTATCCGCGCAGTCTGATCAGGATCCATGCTGTTCGCTTACAAACCCTATTACAAGTAGAGAAACTGATAGCGAACAGCATGGATCCTGATCAGACTGTGCGGATGCCAGAAAATGAGGGGACTTCCAGAAGATTACTGAACGCGAGATAACGAGGGACTTCCAGAAGATTTACTGGACGCCACAGAACGAGGGGCTTCCAGAAGATTATGGGTCTCCAGAAAATGAAGGGTATCCAGAAGATTACTGGTCGCCAGAAAACGAAGGACTTCCAGAAGATTACTGGACGCCAGAAAATGAGAGACTTCCAAAAGATTACTGGACGCCAGAGAACGAGGGGCTTCCAGAAGATTATTGGACGCCGGAGAAACGAGCGGCTTCCAGAAAATGAACCTGAAAAACCTGAACCGGAAGATAATAAAAACAGCACTATAAAATATCTCAGAGATACGGATGGTAATTTTTTGCCAAATTTTTATTCATAAACTTAAACTTACTTTTTTAACATTTTTTTTTTCAATATATTTAAATGCTGAGCAATTGTCGAATTGTCCTTTGACAACGACTTTGGTTGAGGCGATATACACACACGACAGTAAATAATGCGCATATTTCAGGCATATGTATTTAATGCACTTTAAAAGACGACATAGTAATGGGCATTTAACTCGACGTAGAATAAATAATAAGACAAAAATCAGAGCAGTTCTGTGCATAATGGGTCTTTAAACACTCTAAGCCAAATAACTTAAATAAATTATGATAAATAGCTCTTAAATTGCGTAAGTAAGTGGGTAGAAACAGTCATAAAAGTAAAAACTTCAGTTTTATTTTGCATTATACATGAAGGTCTTCCGGAAGATTACTGGACGCCAGAAAATGAGGGGCTTCCAGAAGATTACTGGACGCCAGAAAATGAGGGACTTCCAGAAGATTACTGGACGCCAGAGAACGAGGGGCTTCCAGAAGATTATGGGTCTCCAGAAAATGAAGGGTATCCAGAAGATTACTGGACGCCAGAAAATGAAGGACTTCCAGAAGATTACTGGACGCCAGAGAACGAGGGGCTTCCAGAAGATTATTGGACGCCAGAGAACGAGGGGCTTCCAGAAAATGAACCTGAAAATCCTGAACCGGAAGATAATAAAATCAGCACTATAAAAGATCTCAGAGATACGGATGGTAATTATTGTCTTATGTTTATTCATAAACTTAAACTTACTTTTTTAACATTTTTTTTCAATAAACATGTATTTAAATGCTGAGCAATTGTCGAATTGTCCTTTGACAACGACTTTGGTTGACGATATACACACAAGACAGTAAATAATGCGCATATTTCAGGCATATGTATTTAATGCACTTTAAAAGACCTAGTAATGGGCCTTTAACTCGACGTAGAATAAATAATAAGACCAAAATCAGAACAGTTCTGTGCATAATGGGTCTTTAAACACTCTAAGCCAAATAACTTAAAAAAATTATGATAAATAGCTCTTAAATTGCGTAAGTAAGTGGGTAGAAACAGTCATAAAAGTAAAAACTTCAGTTTTATTTTGCATTATACATGTAAATAATACATTGTCTGTGGTTAAGATGATCTCTTCACATTATGTTATACTTGATGTACTTATATACGTAATAGACATTTCCTGCTTAAATACAGTAACATTTCATTATTTTAATATTTCTTATTGCGATTTATTTTTCATTGTATTGGCCTTACAAGCGACGATCATGTTTTATGTTTAAATTGTGAATAATAATCAATAATCGAATTTAAATTGTTTTATTAATTATTTTATACCATCATGGATTATCTTCGGATTAATAAAATGTTTATTGCGATGATGATTATAGTATTAGTTTATGGTAAGTTATCTTGATTTCATCCACAAGTTTAAATATTTGAAATTCTATGACTTAATTTTAACTCCACTTTGTTTTCTTGAATTGTATTCTGTATTTTCTTTTGAATTACCGCTTTTGTTTATTGTATATCTTCAAATGAACAGATTAGTGGATACAATAAGAATGTGACCGAAACATAAATAACTATAATTTTGTCTAACTGAATTTATTGCCAATAGCAACAGATAAAAAAGATGGCAAGTAGCCAATAAGTAACTTTTTGGAAACTATAAAAAGAAGTACATCAAAATTACAAAAATAAAAACTTTGAGAAATAAAAATGAAATCATTTTCTGAGGCATAATGGGCCTTTAATATAGGGCTATCTGACGTTTTACACAATAATATGTGTTGCCTTGCTGGTGGCACAATATACCTTGCGCTGACTTCAATCAGTCATGAAAAACGTATGTTGTTTGTTTGTTTATAGTATTACAAAAATAACGGATATCTACAAAACATGTGTGTCAGTGTACGATATATAGAGGATATTCAAGTTTGTTTCTATACATAATTTATTTTTATCGAGTGGTATGAACATAAATATTTCATAGTGGCAGTAGCCACGAGTTAAATATGATAATTTTATGCCACAAGATGAAAATAAATCATGTATATATAGAAACAATTGAATTTTCTGTTTATAATATACATTTTTTCCCCTTTTTTGACATTATAATTTAAAAACTTCCCTTAAATTTTGTGTACTGGCAGAATCTAAAAGTAAGTAGTCCGGCAAGACACCAGTGAAAATGCGAAAAATATGTTTCACTGCAGTGAAAAATAAATTTTTACAGTGAAAATACGGAAAATGAAAATACGCATTTTATTTAATCAATATTGCTCAATATTTCATTTGTCAGTATATAATATAATGTTTTAGGCAGCTATAATCAAGCTTTATTGTCGTGACGCTAGATCACAACTAAATATTTTGACAAAGTAAATACTGTTATGCTGTAAGACCTCTATTTTATTTTTTTTGTCTTGTGAATCAAAACTCATTTGTTTTCAAATCATGAGTACTAGACAATTGACATCTTTTGATCAGAAGGACTTCCAAATTTAGCCTAAAACGATCCAATAATGTATAATATTGTATTCCTTTCGGCACTGTGATCCAATATTTTACTAAATGAGCATTCCAGAAACAATAAGAAAGCTTTGATGTTCGTTTTTTTGCTATATTACCATAAATTTGCATAATTACGGTATAATCTTGTTTTAAGTTAACCTCGCTGTTTTAAGAAAAGAAACGTCGTTCTGATTCCTGAACTAACTGCATTTTTTAATCTTCTAAAACCAGAATTATATTCAGCATTCAGTATAACACAGCCCATCAAAGAGGAATCTATGTAATGTTTCTGATATAAGCCTTATAACTAAAGTTGAATTTCATTTAGGTAAAGCTACACATGGACTTGTACGCCGTGAAGTAACAGCTGAGAATAGTACCCTCCCAGAGAATAATGTCAGTCCAGAGGCAACTCCTGAGAGTAGAGTGTCAACCGAGGCAACTCCTGAGCTTAATGTATCACCGGAGAACAGTGCTACATCTGAGTCGAATCCTGGTGGCGAAAGTCCAGAAGGAGAGGGAAATCCAGAAGGAGAAGGAAATCCAGAAGGAGAGGGAAATCCAGAAGGAGAGGGAAATCCAAAAGGAGAATCGGAAGGAGAGTTGCATCCTGAGGGGGAGCGGCTTCCAGAAGATTATGGGTCTCCAGAAAATGAAGGGTATCCAGAAGATTACTGGACGCCGGAAAATGAAGGTCTTCCGGAAGATTACTGGACGCCAGAAAATGAGGGGCTTCCAGAAGATTACTGGACGCCAGAAAATGAGGGACTTCCAGAAGATTACTGGACGCCAGAGAACGAGGGACTTCCAGAAGATTACTGGACGCCAGAGAACGAGGGGCTTCCAGAAGATTATGGGTCTCCAGAAAATGAAGGGTATCCAGAAGATTACTGGACGCCAGAAAATGAGAGACTTCCAAAAGATTACTGGACGCCAGAGAACGAGGGGCTTCCAGAAGATTATTGGACGCCAGAGAACGAGCGGCTTCCAGAAAATGAACCTGAAAAACCTGAACCGGAAGATAATAAAAACAGCACTATAAAAGATCTCAGAGATACGGATGGTAAGTTTTGCCATATGTTTATTCATAAACTTAAACTTACTTTTTTAACATTTTTTTTCAATATATTTAAATGCTGAGCAATTGTCGAATTGTCCTTTGGCAACGACTTTGGTTGAGGCGATATACACACAAGACAGTAAATAATGCGCATATTTCAGGCATATGTATTTAATGCACTTTAAAAGACGACCTAGTAATGGGCTTTTAACTCGACGTAGAATAAATAATAAGACCAAAATCAGAGCAGTTCTGTGCATAATGGGTCTTTAAACACTCTCAGCCAAATAACTTAAATAAATTATGATAAATAGCTCTTAAATTGCGTAAGTAAGTGGGTAGAAACAGTCATAAAAGTAAAAACTTCAGTTTTATTTTGCATTATACATGAAGGTCCTCCGGAAGATTACTGGACGCCAGAAAATGAGGGGCTTCCAGAAGATTACTGGACGCCAGAAAATGAGGGACTTCCAGAAGATTACTGGACGCCAGAGAACGAGGGACTTCCAGAAGATAACTGGACGCCAGAGAACGAGGGGCTTCCAGAAGATTATGGGTCTCCAGAAAATGAAGGGTATCCAGAAGATTACTGGACGCCAGAAAATGAAGGACTTCCAGAAGATTACTGGACGCCAGAAAATGAGGGACTTCCAGAAGATTACTGGACGCCAGAGAACGAGGGGCTTCCAGAAGATTATTGGACGCCAGAGAACGAGGGGCTTCCAGAAAATGAACCTGAAAAACCTGAACCGGAAGATAATAAAAACAGCACTATAAAAGATCTCAGAGATACGGATGGTAATTTTTACCATATGTGTATTCATAAACTTAAACTTACTTTTTACTTTTTAAACATTTTTTTTCAATACATTTAAATGCTGAGCAATTGTCGAATTGTCCTTTGACAACGACTTTGGTTGAGGCGATATTCACACAAGACAGTAAATAATGCGCATATTTCAGGCATACGAGGGATGATCAAAAATTAACCGGACTTTGTAAATGACTCTTAACATGTTAAATTAATTTACATAACAATACACGGAAAATAAATCGGAATCTATCCCCTAAATGATAAACAAATACCAACAAGAAATATTAACAAAGAAAAAAGTTATGATGTTATTGGCATGCACATGTAAAGCAAGGCGGCGCACGGTATAACTTTAAAATTGACGTTTACGACGTCACAAGCGTATTGTCCTTAACGGAGCAGATTTTTACTCATTCACGAAGTAGGCCAATATGTGGTACAGTTATGTTATTGATACGGCAAATCCACTGCCTATATATATTTCTGTACAAGTGGGTATCATATTGTATTGTAATAGGTTGAATGGTGATCAAGAGCTCCTGTAATGATGCAAACTTCCGTTATTTCCTTCTGCAACTTGATTGTTGAAAAAGTCGCAAATGCAATTAACTATATTATGTATTACAAATAATGTATAATAATGTTGCTGAATGATAATGTAACATACATACGAAAACAAAAACAGAATAATACAACTATGATCAAAATTATAATTATTTTATAATAAATAAAACGCATAGCCAATTTGAACAGTGGCTGTTAAATTGTTGACACAATTTCTCCATAAAACTACTGCGCAAAATAAGAAAATAATTGATACAATTGTAAACCAAGAATACAATACATGTAATTAATGCATTAACTATTATCATTTTAAGATCCTCAGAGTTGACTGCACCGTCCCGTAGTTACTGTCGAACATCGTTGACAATGTTCGCAGTCAATCGACTGTCATTTTTCAACGTCTTGGCGATTGACGTCACCAACGTCCTTGCAAATGTCTTTTTTCTGTCTCTCCCTTACTTGTTTCTATTTCTCTATTATCCATTCTTAATCTTTTAAGCTAATGAAAAATATGCTGTGGCTTTCTGGAACTTTTCCCTTGATAGTCATCATCTTTTTCTACGTTTTAAACAGTTTCTCGTCTTACATTTGACAAATTTTTCCTATTGATCGATTTTCGAGACATTCAGACGACATAGTTTTAACGCGAGTATTTCATTAACATGTGACGTTTGAATTGTGATGGTAAATATAAATTTGGTTTAAATGAAGTCATTTTTACTGACAACGTCAAACATATGATACATGACGTTTTGGCGTATTTTGAAATCTAAATGTGCCATATTGTAAAATACACGTAGCATAAAGCGCCTAATGTCAAGGCAAACTTACGCACTGCGCCGGGTGTGCGTTACCATGGTTTTTGAATTCGCTGTTACGGACAAGCTATTTGCGTTATCAGATTAGATATAGAATCAGTTTACAGGTATTGTTTTCCGATTAAGTATGATATATAACAATAAGTGATAGGATGAAAATTCTTCAATTGCCAGTCACAGTCCGGTTTATTTTTGATCATCCCTCGTATGTATTTAATGCACTTTAAAAGACGGCCTAGTAATGGACCTTTAACTCGACGTAGAATAAATAATAAGACCAAAATCAGAGCAGTTCTGTGCATAATGGGTCTTTAAACACTCTCAGCCAAATAACTTAAATAAATTATGATAAATAGCTCTTAAATTGCGTAAGTAAGTGGGTAGAAACATTCATAAAAGTAAAAACTTCAGTTTTATTTTGCATTATACATGTCAATAATACATTGTCTGTGGTTACTTTCACATTTCACTCTTACAATACATTTCAATTTTCAAATTTAAAAAAAAGCCAGCAAACAACAGAAAGTAATTTTCCTAGAGATGTGCAGCTCTAAGAAGAAAACAATTGTTTTAATTAAGTTTCTCTGTACATGAACATTTATATTAAGTTCCTTTTTATTTTTCTTTGTACAAATACATGTATATCGTTGTTCGTGGTTTTTTTTTGTTGTTGTTTGTTTTTTACTGTTTATTCATTTTTGTCTATAAATATTTGTTTTCGCGTACCTTTGAATAAAATGGTGATGATGAAGAATGGTTTGTGCTTAGGTCAGAAAAAACTCATGAAATCAAACTAAAGGCCCATTAATTGAGTCCCAAAAAAAATGCTACATGTATTTCTTTTTTTTTTTTTATCTCAATAGCTTTTTTCTTTTATTATACTGTCACAGTTCCAAAATGGTACGCATTGGCCATATCTTTGAACCATGCTTTGCTTTTTTCTATTAGAAATGTTTTGAAGTCAAAACACTACTTTGTTTACATTTTACTACTTTTATGGCACATTATTGCACATTCAGCACTATTTTTAACACTTGATACGCATTTTACATGGTTTTACTTGATTATTAAAATATTATAAAACGCATGTTTGCTTTTTCTTGAGAGAAAGAAAAAAATGTAGTCATCTCTAAGGCTTAATGTGCCTTTAATGTCAGAACAACATGCCTGATGTATGGTGGCTGATTTCTGCCATTTCGTGTCTTCGCCCCTCAAAAGTCGAAGGCGAAGACACGATAATGTGCTCGTGTATCGTGTTTTCGACTTTCCGAGTGGCGAAGACACGAAATGGCAGAAATTAGCCACTATACTGATGAGTGATATATTGACACCGCTTGTTTTTCTTCATACACATAAACCCGTGCATCAATGATTGTCCTTCCTCATTACCATACAGCAACCATAGTTAAATTTTAAAAAAGCAGGTATAAAATCGCGAACTTGGGCTCATGTAACACATACTACCCAGTGATTTACGTAACTACGATTATCAAGGACGGTTAATTCCCATAATGAACAACTCCTGGTTTTTTCCTTATTTAAGATGATCTTTTCACATTATCTTACACTTCATGTGCTTATATATGTAATAGACTTTTCCTGCTTAAATACAGTAACATTTCATTATTTCAACATCAAAATTGGAAAATTTAGTGAAAAATGTAACACTTTCATTGTTTAAAAAATGTTGCATTTTTTTCCTAATAATAGTAAGTTACTGAGACTGTCATTTCGTTAAAAAACCTTTAGATTTGTCATTGTTTTATACTTTGATTCAGAGATAATGTAAACACGGAATGATCCTGTTATGTTATTAGTAGGTTATTCGATCAAACTACTAATGTCTCTTATTCTTCAAATAGGCACTACCACCGAGATGTGCACCTTAGGTGCTCCCCCTATATAAAATCTCCCCCGGTGTATATAAAGTAAACTTCTTAAGTTGAAATAAATCCATTCTCTTTTTATGTTTATATTTAGTTTTCAAAACTTCCTCTTTTGGATTTATAAGTAGCATATACTATATAATTAAAATCTGAATAGCAAGTATGTAATTTGATATTTTTTTCTTCCGGGTACGTTTGCCGTGTATTTCTTATTGCGATTTATTTTTGCCATTGTATAGGCCTTACAAGCGACGATCATGTTTTATGTTTAAATTGTGAATAATAATCAATAATCGAATTTAAATTGTTTTATTAATTATTTTATACCATTATGGATTATCTTCGGATTAATAAAACGTTTGTTGCGATGATGATTATAGTATTAGTTTATGGTAAGTTATCTTAATTTCACCCACAAAATTAATTATTAAAATTATATGACTTAAATTAAACTCCACTTTGTTTACTTGAATTGTATTCTGTATTTTCTTTTGCATTACCGCTTTTGTTTATTGAGAAAGTTGCAACAATTTTAATAACCCTGAATGGTTTTATTTCAGTAACTACCAATAAATTATGATTATGATAAATTATTTGTGACGTGCAGATTTTTAGGGTATTTTTCTGAAAACGTTGTTTTGAAGACATCATACCCGAATTTTAATAATTTTTCTAAATCAATTGCTCTATTTCATTCATTAATATAGATGAACAAATTTGGTACTAAATGTCCTGCAAAATAACTTTTGTCAAGTCAATTCCACAAATGCAGTATAAAGTAAATGTTTACATTGGCTATTTTCTGCTACATTTTCTCACAAAATAACGTTAAAGCCAAATTAAGACGCGTACGCTCGGATAGGATCGTAATTTATACCAACATCCCTCTATTGTTTTACAGTTATTAAATTACTAATATTGACATTCTTTGATCTGTAAGTTTTTCAATACGGTACATAGTACATGTATATGCAATAACCGTATATTAATGTGTAAAACGTCTTATATTGCACTTACTTGTAGATCAAGCACATTATGCCTCAGAAGTAAATACAACTTTACTTCTTACGAAAGGGCAAATATGAATTTTATTATGTTTAAAGAATGATTTCAGAGAATGTTAGTTGCTTGTTACCTGAAGTAAGTAGCGATTTGTTATATAAACAAAGTAGTATGTATATAGATCTGTGATCTGTTTTATTCAAATGAACAGATTAGTGAATACAATAAGAATGTCACCACAACATATTTGTTAACAGAAGCTAGAGCACATGGGGTCTATATACAAAATTCTAATCCGCTATAACTTAGTCTAACTGTATTCATTGCCAAATAGCAACAGATGAAAAAAGATGGTTCAAGTAAATTGGCCATTGAGTGACCTTTTGGAAACTATAAAAAGTACATCAAAATTTAAAAATAAATGAGAAATAAAAATACAAGTATTTCTGAGGCATAATGGACCTTTAGTATAGGGGGTATCAGACGTGTTTTACACATTAATATTTGTTGCCTCATCTGGTACAATGCATCCTGCGTTAATCAGTCATGAAAATCGTATGTTGTTTGTTTATAGTGTTATAAAAATATATCTACTACAAATGTGTGTCAGTGTAAAATATAATGTTTTATGCAGCTTTATATCAAGCTTTAAATCGTGACGCTAGATCACAACGAAATATTTTTGACACCGTTATGCTGTAAGACCTCTATTTTGAATTTTTGTCCTGTGAATCAAAACTCAATTGTTTTCAAATCATGAGTAAACTTGACTTTTGACATCTCTTGATCAAAAGGGCTTCTTAATTTAGCCGAAAACGATCCAATAATGTATAATATTGTATTCCCTCGGCACTGTGATCCAATCTTTTACTGAAAATGACCAGAAAGCTTTGATGTTCATTTTTTTTGTTATATTACCATAAATTTGCATAATTACGGTATAATCTTGTTTTAAATTAACCTCACTGTTTTAAGGAAGAAAAACATCGTTCTGATTCCTGAATTAACTGCATTTTTTAATCTTCTAAAACCAGAATTATATTCAGCATTCAGTATAACACAGCCCATTAAAGAAGAATTATATGTCTTAAAAAATCTATGTAATGTTTCTGATATAAGCCGAATAACTTAAGTTGAATTTCATTTAGGTAAAGCTACACATGGACTTGTACGCCGTGAAGTAACAGCTGAGAATAGTACCCTCCCAGAGAATAATGTTAGTCCAGAGGCAGCTCCTGAGGGTAGAGTGTCAACCGAGGCAACTCCTGAGCCTAATGTATCACCGGAGAACAGTGCCCTCCCAGAGAATAATGTCAGTCCAGAGGCAACTCCTGAGGGTAGAGTGTCAACCGAGGCAACTCCTGAGCCTAATGTATCACCGGAGAACAGTGCTACATCTGAGCCGAATCCTGGTGGCGAAAGTCCAGAAGGGGAGGGTTACCCAGAAGGAGAGGGATATCCAGAAGGAGAAGGAAATCCAGAAGGAGAGGGAGATCCAGAAGGAGAAGGAAATTCAGAAGGGGAATCGGAAGGAGAGTTGTATCCTGAGGGCGAGAATGAAGGGTATCCAGAAGATTACTGGACGCCGGCAAATGAAGGTCTTCCGGAAGATTACTGGACGCCAGAAAATGAGGGGCTCCCAGAAGATTACTGGACGCCAGAGAACGAGGGGCTTCCAGAAGATTACTGGACGCCAGAGAACGAGGGACATCCAGAAAATGAACCTGAAAATGAGCCTGAAAAACCTGAACCAGAAGATAATAAAAACACCACTATAAAAGATCTCAGAGATACGGATGGTAATTATTGTCTTATGTTTATTCATAAACTTAAACTTACTTTTTTAACATTTTTTTTTCAATATATTTAAATGCTGAGCAATTGTCAAATTGTCCTTTGACAACGACTTTGTTTGAGGCGGTACACAAATACTGCGCATATTTCAGACATATTATATTTTAGGACTTTTGAAAGACCTAGTTAATTGTTTATTGAGCTCTTCCTACCAAAATAAAAACCTTAAAGAATGCTCAAAACGAAAACATTTAAAATGTTGCTGACTCGGTTTGATTAGCACCGAGCACCTACTCAAGTAGGTATCCGGACAATTCCCCTCCCGGACGATTCCCCTCCCAGTAAATTTGAATGTTTTTTCACAACCCGGACATTTTGTATTTTTAAGAGGTTTCTGTAATATTTTTGCTATACATGTAGTATTTTAATCGCGGAGAACATGGACTACATGTAGTTTTGTATTCTAAAATAAAACAACGTTCACCAGACTACTTTTGATCTAGCATAAGAACTTTTTAGGGGGATTTTTACACATACAAGTGTTTACGACATATTTTACATATTTTGTTATCATGTTCACAGTTGAATGGATCATCGAAAATGTATATCTATAGGAAAATTATATTTAATCTTCGATTTAGGAAGAAGGTCCTATTTACAAATCAAAACAAATTACTTTCAGTGTTGGAACTAGTTGCAACAGTCGGGTGACCTGGAGAAAATGTCAATTTTACGTAGTTCATGAGCCACGCAATGACAAAACCAACGTAATGCAGTTGCGACCAGCATGGATCCAGACCAGCCTGCACATCCGCGCAGTCTGATCAGGATCCATGCTGGTCGCAAACGCACTATGTTGGGTTTGTCATGGCGCGGCTCATATGTTTTAACTTCTCATTTCCCAAAAAATGAAGAAACTCCAATCAGTGAATGTTCTTTGTATACAAATAATCAGATAAAATCGTTTACCTATTCTAATTGAAAAACTTTTAAGCATAATGGTTATAAGCACTCGTGTTTATTAAAACACTCTCGAATCCGTTCCTGGAACCAACCAGTAATAAGCAATGAGTGTAAAATTTCTTTTAGGTAATATAGTCGGTCACAGTATGAGAAATACGGAAACTTTCAATGTTTATAAGATGGATATACATGCCAATAATATATTCTGTGGTACGTAGTCTTGCCAAAATCCAGAATTTATTTCACTAATCCATTTTATCACCGTGCTTTAACTAGGTTTTTAGATTTCAAATATTATTGCTTTTTTTGTAGATATCAATTCAGTCAACGAGGCTCTAGAAATAACACTGATTATTGTACTTATTTTGTTTACCGTCCTGTTAACAACTTGTGTCTGCTTTCTCTGGAGAGGGTAAGAAGATTTATCAGATATTTTTACAATTAATAATATTACATGTATTTTAAGACATTTAAGAATGGTTTGTTAAAACACTAAGTCTGCTAGCGGAAACTGTCACCAGAGAAGGCCAAGATTCGCAAACACATTTGCGCTGTCTTACGATTGTAGCGCCGTCTGAAAATCCCAGCGTTATAGTTACAAGTACATGTATGCTTATGCTTGTTTCCTGATGTCACGAGGAGAAACAGAGAAATAAAAATGCTTATTTCGAATTTCGGATAAGACGAACATTCATAGCTCATTTTGCACATTGGTATGACCGAATGTACAATTGTATGGCTTAAAAACTGGTCTAAAGCTCTTTAAACAAACCAATCAATCATGCATAAATGCACAAATAGTATTACAAAATATATGACTATTATTTCAGAAAATCTCGCAGAGGCAAAATGGACTTTAAAAAGGAGATACCAGAGTTCTTTGTCGCAGTCGGTCCAGGGGAGTTCAAGCAGACGGTTATTCAGCTACCAGCAAATAAGGAAAAAGTCGGACTTAGCAACTGAATGTCTTTTTAACGACGACATGTTTTCAATTTTTCCATTTATTTCATTAATTGAATATATCCAGAGACTCTCATGTTTCTTTGCAATTGTTTAGCGACATCTCATTTCAAGTCCCAGGCGCTTCTAAATACTTTGTATAAGTCTGTTTGCAAAGTTTACTCATTGACACATTCGTGATTGATATATAATATAGGTAAGAACAATGTAGCAGTTATCGTAGTCTTGATATCTCGTAGTCTTGATATATCGACGAATTGACGTATTCAACCAAGTCATAGTCTTCGACGAGATGTTTTTCGATGCAATGTCGTGCACTGTTGATTAAATATATGTCCGTTGAAACTTCAGTTTCATACTTCCTTTTTTATGTTGTTACTTGTGTGTTGGTTTTGTTTTTCGATTTCTTGAGGGAGTTAAATTTTTTAAAGGAACTCGACTGAGGTCCAAAGGCCTTAAAACATAAAATTTGAATTTCCTACAAAGATCGATCAATCACGGCACTTAAAACAGGAAGATATGTAAAAAGACGAATAAGAAATATACTCAGAAACAAATTGAAAATCGTATTTTTATGATATTCTAAGCCCGATTTGAGTGAAAAGCGTTGTTATAATTATTTTGGAAAAGCGGAGTGAGCGAATGATTTGAAAATTTGCACACAAGTCATTAGTTTAGATCACTTCAAACGAACGCAACATTAATCTCGAAAATTATTTCCCGTCATGTCAGAAAACCTCATTGGAGTCCCTTTAAGACAGAAATACCTGCAAAAACGTCTTTCAATTAATTTAGGTTATTTATGATATTGCCATTAGAATGTGTCTATTATTTCATGGCATAAAGATGAGAACATTTTTGTGTTGAGGCTAGTTATCTTATTCAAGTTATGTATTTATTTCTTTTTTAAAGTGTTCAAAGTCTTTTATATAGTTGAAACATTGTGTTTGTAATATCATGCTCTAAGGGAGATACTATTTACGTTTGCATTAAAAGTTGCATAAATTTTCTTTAAATGACTGCTAACAAGACTCCAGATTTTATCAATATACAAAAAAAGAGGAAAATTAATTGCCTGTGTTAATTTGCTAGTGAATATACTGCCTTCGTGGTCGATTGTCGTTAAACATCATTTCCGATTTCTGTACACTTATTAAAGTTTTGATGCATTTAATTATACTCTTAAAGAAATAAATAATTTAATTTAATTTAATTTTTACATGTTTCAATAATCATTTATCTGTTTGTGCAATGGCTTTGACTTTGTTCAAATACACATAACCCGTGTCACGTCAAAACCAACATAGTGGGTTTGCGACCAGCATGGATCCAGACCAGCCTGCGCATCCGCGCAGTCTGATCAGGATCCATGCTGTTCGCTTACAAACCCTATTACAAGTAGAGAAACTGATAGCGAACAGCATGGATCCTGGTCAGACTGTGCGGATGCCAGAAAATGAGGGACTTCCAGAAGATTACTGAACGCGAGAGAACGAGGGACTTCCAGAAGATTACTGGACGCCAGAGAACGAGGGGCTTCCAGAAGATTATGGGTCTCCAGAAAATGAAGGGTATCCAGAAGATTACTGGTCGCCAGAAAACGAAGGACTTCCAGAAGATTACTGGACGCCAGAAAATGAGAGACTTCCAAAAGATTACTGGACGCCAGAGAACGAGGGGCTTCCAGAAGATTATTGGACGCCAGAGAACGAGGGGCTTCCAGAAAATGAACCTGACAATCCTGAACCGGAAGATAATAAAATCAGCACTATAAAAGATCTCAGAGATACGGATGGTAATTATTGTCTTATGTTTATTCATAATTTTAAACTTACTTTTTTAACATTTTTTTTCAATATACATGTATTTAAATGCTGAGCAATTGTCGAATTGTCCTTTGACAACGACTTTGGTTGAGGCGATATACACACAAGACAGTAAATAATGCGCATATTTCAGGCATATGTATTTAATGCACTTTAAAAGACTTAGTAATGGGCATTTAACTCGACGTAGAATAAATAATAAGACCAAAATCAGAACAGTTCTGTGCATAATGGGTCTTTAAACACTCTCAGCCAAATAACTTAAATAAATTATGATAAATAGCTCTTAAATTGCGTAAGTAAGTTGGTAGAAACAGTCATAAAAGTAAAAACTTCAGTTTTATTTTGCATTATACATGTCAATAATACATTGTCTGTGGTTAAGATGATCTCTTCACATTATGTTATACTTGATGTACTTATATACGTAATAGACATTTCCTGCTTAAATACAGTAACATTTCATTATTTTAATATTTCTTATTGCGATTTATTTTTCATTGTATAGGCCTTACAAGCGACGATCATGTTTTATGTTTAAATTGTGAATAATAATCAATAATCGAATTAGATTGTTTTATTAATTATTTTATATCATCATGGATTATCTTCGGATTAATAAAATGTTTATTGTGATGATGATTATAGTATTAGTCTATGGTAAGTTATCTTAATTTCACCAACAAGTTTAAATATTTGAAATTCTATGACTTAATTTTAACTCCACTTTGTTTTCTTAACTTGTTTCTGTATTTTCTTTTGAATTACCGCTTTTGTTTATTGTATATCTTCAAATGAACAGATTAGTGGATACAATAAGAATGTGACCGAAACATAAATAACTATAATTTTGTCTAACTGAATTTATTGCCAAATAGCAACAGATAAAAAAGATGGCAAGTAGCCAATAAGTAACTTTTTGGAAACTATAAAAAGAAGTACATCAAAATTACAAAAATAAAACTTTGAGAAATAAAAATAAAATCATTTCTGAGGCATAATGGGCCTTTAACATAGGGCTATCAGACGTTTTTACACATTAATATTTGTTGCCGTGCTGGTGGCACAATATACCTTGCGCTGACTTCAATCAGTCATGAAAAACGTATGTTGTTTGTTTGTTTATAGTATTATAAAAAATAACGAATATCTACAAAACATGTGTGTCAGTGTACGATATATAGAGGATATTCAAGTTTTTTCTATACATGATTTATTTTTATCGAGTGGTATGAACATAAATATTTCATAGTGGCAGTAGCCACGAGTTAAATATGATAATTTCATGCCACAAGATGAAAATTAATCATGTATATATAGAAAAAATTGAATTTTCTGTTTATAATATACATTTTCCCCCCTTTTTTGACATTATGATTTAAAAACTTCCCTTAAATTTTGTGTACTGGCAGAATTTAAAAGTAAGTAGTCCGGCAAGACACCAGTGAAAATGCGAAAAATATGTTTCACTGCAGTGAAAAATATTTTTTTACAGTGAAAATACGGAAAATGAAAATACACATTTTATTTCATCAATATTGCTCAATATTTCATTTGTCAGTATATAATATAATGTTTTAGGCAGCTATAATCAAGCTTTATTGTCGTGACGCTAGATCACAACTAAATATTTTGACAAAGTAAATACTGTTATGCTGTAAGACCTCTATTTTATTTTTTTTGTCTTGTGAATCACAACTCATTTGTTTTCAAATCATGAGTACTAGACAATTGACATCTTTTGATCAGAAGGACTTCCAAATTTAGCCTAAAACGATCCAATAATGTATAATATTGTATTCCCTTCGGCACTGTGATCCAATATTTTACTAAATGAGCATTCTTGAAACAATCAGAAAGCTTTGATGTTCGTTTTTTTGTTATATTACCATAATTTTGCATAATTAACCTCGCTGTTTTAAGAAAAAAGAAACGTCGTTCTGATTCCTGAACTAACTGCATTTTTCAATCTTCTAAAACCAGAATTATATTCAGCATTCAGTATAACACAGCCCATTAAAGAGGAATCTATGTTATGTTTCTGATATAAGTCGAATAACTAAAGTTGAATTTCATTTAGGTAAAGCTACACATGGACTTGTACGCCGTGAAGTAACAGCTGAGAATAGTACCCTCCCAGAGAACAATGTCAGTCCAGAGGCAACTCCTGAGGGTAGAGTGTCAACCGAGGCAACTCCTGAGGGTAGAGTATCAACCGAGGCAACTCCTGAGGATAGAGTGTCAACCGAGGCAACTCCTGAGGGTAGAGTGTCAACCGAGGCAACTCCTGAGGGTAGAGTGTCAACCGAGGTAACTACTGGGGGTAGAGTATCAACCAAGGCAACTCCTGAGGGTAGAGTGTCAACCGAGGCAACTCCTGAGGGTAGAGTATCAACCGAGGCAACTCCTGAGGGTAGAGTGTCAACCGAGGCAACTCCTGAGGGTAGAGTGTCAACCGAGGCAACTCCTGAGGGTAGAGTGTCAACCGAGGTAACTCCTGGGGGTAGAGTATCAACCAAGGCAACTCCTGAGGGTAGAGTGTCAACCGAGGCAACTCCTGAGGGTAGAGTGTCAACCGAGGCAACTCCTGAGGGTAGATTATCAACCGAGGCAACTCCTGAGGATAGAGTGTCAACCGAGGCAACTCCTGAGGGTAGAGTGTCAACCGAGGCAACTCCTGAGGGTAGAGTGTCAACCGAGGCAACTCCTGAGCCTAATGTATCACCGGAGAACAGTGCTACATCTGAGCCGAATCCTGGTGGCGAAAGTCCAGAAGGGGAGGGTTACCCAGAAGGAGAGGGATATCCAGCAGGAGAAGGAATTCCAGAAGGAGAGGGAGATCCAGAAGGAGAAGGAAATTCAGAAGGAAAGGGAGATCCAGAAGGAGAAGGAAATTCAGAAGGAGAGGGAGATCCAGAAGGAGAAGGAAAGTCAGAAGGGGAATCGGAAGGAGAGTTGTATCCTGTGGGCGAGAGGCTTCCAGAAGTTTATTGGTCCCAAGAAGATAACAGGACGCCAGAGAACGAGAGACATCCAGAAAATGAACCTGAAAAACCTGAACCGGAAGATAATAAAAACACCACTATAAAAGATCTCAGAGATACGGATGGTAATTTTTGCCATATGTTTAACTGTTTAACCATTTTTTCTTCAATATATTCAAATGCTGAGCAATTGTCGAATTGTCCTTTGACAACGACTTTGGTTGAGGCGATACATACACAAGGCAGTAAATAATGCGCATATTTCAGGCATATGTATAATTTAATGCACTTTAAAAAACCTAGTAAATTGTTAACTGAGCTCTTCCTTCTAAAATAGAAACCTTAATGAATGCTCAAAACGAAAACATTGAAAATGTTGCATACTCAGTTTGATTGAGCATGTTGCTAAGTGCAAGCTACCGTCCACGCCTCCCCCATCCCCGGAGCACCCATTTAATTAGTATTCAATATTTGAGCCGCGCCATGACAAAACCAACATAGTGGGTTTGCGACCAGCATGGATCCAGACCAGCCTGTGCATCCGCGCAGTCTGAATAGGATCCATGCTGTTCGCTTACCAAGCCTTTTACAAGTAACAAAACTGATAGCGAACAGCATGGATCCTGATCAGACTGCGCGGACGCGCAGGCTGGTCTGTATCCATACTGGTCGCAAACCCATTATGTTGTTTTTGTCGTGACTCGGCTCATTTGAACATGAAAATGGCGGATTTTTAATTGAGAAGAATCTAAACGCCAAGATTTGAACTTTCTTCAGTTATTATGTCTATTTTGTATTTTTAAGAGGTTTTCTGTAATATTTTTGTTATACATGTAGTATTTTAATCGCGGAGAACATCGACTATATATACATGTAGTTTTGTATTTTAAAATAAAACAACTTTCACCAGACTACTTCTGATCTAGCATAAGACCTTTTGGGGAGATTTTTACACAAGAAATTTAAGAGGTACAAGTGTAATATTTTACATATTTTGTTATCATGTTCACAGTTGAATGGATCATTGAAAATGTATATCCATAAGAAATTATATTTAATCTTCGATTTAGGAAGTAGGTCCTATTTACAAATCAAAACAAATTACTTTCAGTGTTGGAACTAGTTGCAACAGTCGGGTGACCTGGAGAAAATGTCAATTTTACGTAGTTCATGAGCCACGCCATGACAAAACCAACGTCATGCGTTTGCGACCAGCACGGATCCAGACCAGCCTGCGCATCCGCGCAGTCTGATCAGTATCCATGCTGTTCGCTTACAAACCCAATAACAAGTAGAGAAACTGATAGCGAACAGCATGGATCCTGATCAGACTTCGCGGATGCGCATGCTGGTCTGGATCCATGCTTATCGCAAACGCACTACGTTGGTTTTTTCATGGCGCGGCTCATATGTTTTAATTTCTCATTTCCAAAAAAAAAGAAGAAACTCCAATCAGTGAATGTTCTTTGTATACAAATAATCAGATGAAATCGTTTACCTATTCTAATTGAAAAACGTTTAAGCATAGTGGTTATAAGCAGCAGTATTTATTAAAACACTCTCGAATCCGTTCCTGGAACCAACCAGTACTAAGCAATGAGTGTAAAATTTCTTTTAGGTAATATAGTCAGTCACAGTATGAGAAATACGGAAACTTTCAATGTGTATAAGATGGATATGCATGCCAATAATATATTCCGTGGTACGTAGTCTTGCCAAAATCCAGAATTTATTTCACTAATCGTCCTTTATGAGCCATTTTATCACCGTGCTTTAACTAGGTTTTTAGACTTCAAATATTATTGTTTGTTTTTGTAGATATCAACTCAGTCAACGAGGCTCTAGAAATAACACTGATTATTGTACTTATTTTGTTTACCGTCCTGTTAACAACTTGTGTCTGCTTTCTCTGGAAAGGGTAAGAAGATTTATCAGATATTTTTACAATTAATAATATTACAATAGATTTTAAGACATTTAAGAATGGTTTGTTAAAACACTAAGTCTGCTAGCGGAAACTGGTTCTACATATGCCACCAGAGAAGACCAAGATTCGCAAATACATTTGCGCTGTCTTACGATTGTTGCGCCGTCTGAAAATCCCAGCGTTATAGTTACAAGTACATGTATGCTTATGCTTGTTTCCTGATGTCACGAGGAGAAACAGAGAAATAAAAATACTTATTTCGAATTCCGGATAAGAAGAACATTCATAGCTCATTTTGCACATTGGTATGACCGAATGTACAATTGTATGGCTTAAAAACTGGTGTACAGCTCTTAAAACAAATAAATAAATAATGCATAAAGGCACAAATAGTATTACAAAATATATGACTATTATTTCAGAAAATCTCGCAGAGGCAAAATGGACTTCAAGAAGGAGATACCAGAGTTCTTTGTTGCAGTCGTTCCAGGGGAGTTCAAGCAGACGGTTATTCAGCTACCAGCAACCAAGGAAAAAGTCGGACTTAGCTACTGAGTGTCTTATTTACGACGACATGTTTTCATTTTATTTTCATTTATTTCAAGAATTGAATATATCCAGAGACTCTCATGTTTCTTTGCAATTGTTTAGCTACATCTCATTTCAAGTCCCTGGCGCTTTCTAAATACTTTGTATAAGTCTGTTTGCAAATTTTACTCATTGGCACATTCGTGATTGATATATAATATAGGTAAGAACAATGTAGTGCTGATTTTCGATCAGTTATCGTAGTCTTGATATATCGTAGTCTTGATATCTCGACGAAGCGACCAAGTCATAGTCTTCGACGAGATGTCTTTCGATGCAATGTCGTGCACTGTTGATTAAATATATGTCCTTTGAAACTTCAGTTTCATACTTCCTTTTTTTATGTTGTTACTTGTGTGTTGGTTTTGTTTTTCGATTTCTTGAGGGTGTTTATTTTTTTAAAGGAACTCGACTGAGGTCCAAAAGCCTTAAAACATAAAATTTGAATTTCCTACAAAGATCGATTAACCATGGCACTTAAAACAGGAAGATATGTAAAAAGACGATTAAGAAATATACTCAAAAACCAATTGAAAATCGTATTTTATGATATTCTAAGCCCGATTTGAGTGAAAAGCGTTGTAATTATTATTCTGGAAAAACGGAGTGAGCGAATGATTTGAAAATTTACACACAAGTCATTGGTTTAGACTTACTTCAAACGGAACATTAATCTTGAAAATTATGTCTAATCCCGTCATGTCAGAAAACCTCAGTGGAGTCCCTTTAAGACAGAAATACCTGCATACACGTCTTTCAATTAATCTAGGTTATTTTATAATATTGCCATTAGAATATGTCTATTATTTCATGGCATAAAGATGAGAACATTTTGTGTTGAAGCTAAATATCTTATTCAATTTATGTATTTATTTCTTTTTGAAAGTGTTCAAAGTCTTGTATATCGTCAAAAACATTGTGTCTGTAATATCATGCGCTAAGGGAGATAATATTAACATGTGCATTAAAACTTAAAAGCTGCATTAATTTTCTTTAAATCTTATTCTAACAAGACTCCTGATTTTATCAATGCAAAAAAAAGAAAGAAAGAAAGAAAGAGGAAAATTAATTGCCTGTGTTAATTTGCTAGTGAATACTGCCTCCGTGGTCGATTCCCAAACGATTTACAGTTAATACGCATAATCGGGAAACATCAATTCCGATTGCTGTACACTTATTAAAGTTTTGATGCATTTAGTTATACTCTTTAAGAAATAAATAATTTAATTTAATTTTTACATGTTTCAATAATCATTTATCTGTTTTTGCAATGGTTTTGACTTTGTTCAAATACATATAATTATTTAAGCTGAACGATATTTAAACGTTTTATATATCAGTGTAATTCTATTGTAAAGTGGCACACAATTTTGATTAATAAATCCATCAATGTGCTTTATATTAAAACATCTAATCTCAATTTTTGTGTAAGTTTTGTCTGCAAACACCTTCATTATCTACATGTATTTCTCATAATATACAATAACAATAGATAATAAATCAGAAAGTTTTAATTTATGCTATTTATTTATTTTTTTTTATTTATTTTTTTTTTGGGGGGGGGGGAGGTTCACCCTTTGTCAATTATTTAAAGAATTGAATTCTTTTATTGTAATATTATTATTTGTTTTTTGACTGTTATTTTCTGTTCATTTTTTTTTGTTACAACCAGTTGCATATTATACGTCTTGGTTTAATAAAAACTGAAACTGAAGTTATTTTTAAAAAGTGTCAGTTTTGTTGACGTTTTCGTTTTGTCATATTTTTGAATTATATATGTACATTGGCATCGCACGTCCTTTATATTTGTCAGTTTTCTCATTTTTTTTTACAATAAAATGTTAATAACATTAACGGTGTTTCATGTTCTCAAATTATATTTAATATTGCAACTATGGTACAAAGTATAGTAGTACTAATTATTTGTATTGGAAAAAGTCACACATTATACATGTAACAATAATATATATTTATTAATCTTTACATTGCATCGTAGTATACAATTGAATAATAAATACAAATAATGCCTAATTCCATTAGTGTCAATAGTCAATAAAGCAGCAAGGCCATCGGACCAAATCCATTATCAAACATTTGTTAATTTCATATTCCTTTGCAGTCTTTATTTCTCTTTTTTCGTCCGCACGGGGTATATCTCCTTCCAAGTGTGGAAAATTGATTAAATTAAGGTCAAAATCATCCCTTAACGAAGTTAGGATAAGCATGTCGGTCCGTCGATGGTTTTATGCGTGATAGATAATTATTATAGAGCGTTAGAAACAAACGTGGTATAAAGAAAGCATGAGCTGACCTTGAAGGGATAACTTTTGAACCCCCTAGGGTCAAGATCAATTTACTCTTAAAACTTCAAAATGGTTCCCGGACTATACTGGCTGGAGAGATAACTCCGACACTAAATCACATATTTTGCTATATCTTAATTATCTTCCTGTATTTTTTAAATACTGAACCACCAAAACAAAGTCCACTTCAAAATATTTACATTACACTGCAAAAATTATGTATGAAAATGGAAACTGGTACCTTTTAAGGTCCTGAATGACGTATCAAAACATGATCTTTTATCCAACAACAGAAGATAAAGTCGATTATTGTAATTTAGTAAAAAGAACGTTTTGAAGCAGTTGCCAACGAAAAGTTTACGTTATTTGAATTTTTTTTTAAAAAGTTTACAAATTTACACTAAATCATCAAATTGTGTCCTGCTCCTATACTTCAAGGTTGCCATATGCTTGTTTGTTGAAAAACAAAGTTATAACAATTGTATTTATCAAGTGTCGGGGTTTCTCTATACGACCATGCAGCAACTAAGTAAGGAAATAAAAACAATTATCTAGTTTGGAATGAGATATTATCAAACTTAGTATATATTTGGAGACTTTGCAAGGGATTGCTTTTGGGTCACCTATAGGGTCGTGGTCACTGTAACTTAAAATAGAAAATAGAAAAATGGTTAGACTAAGTTTAAACATATACTAAGAAATTAGATACATGTGCTAGATTTATAATCAAACTAAGTATATATGACAATGTTATATGCGAAGATTTCTTTCGCAGATTAGACTCCAAAACACAGCGTTCTTTTATAAATATGCCGAAACTATCATCGCCTGCTATAATTACTTGTTAAGCAGTATGATGTAGATGTAGATGAGAATGTGAAGTGCGATCGGAGGTTGTTTTCCTAGATAATGTTATTTCTTATGTCCGCCCGCTTACCCCTTTAGGGAAGGCATCAAATTTGTAATCCAAGGACCGCTGCTCCACGGGCGAGGCGAAATTTTCCAATGCCAATTGATCTCCGACATTGCGCTCCAGCTTAATTAACATATTTATTTAAGCTCGATTGCGATACGTTCTTGCAACTTAGATTAATCAACTTTCGAGTCCGCTTCCTGGTACCAACCAGTACTGGTGTGATATCAAGAAACATGCAAGACCGTGACCAGATTAGGGCTCGAACCCATGATCCCTGGGTTGTGAGGCAGACACCTTAACCATTAGGCCACCGCTCCCCTTGCACACCATTGATAAAGTAATTTTGTGAGATTAGTAGTCAGTCACGTGACGAGATTTGTAATTACTGCATAGTTATAATTTATTAGCCGGGAAAGCAGGTTATAGGTGGACCAACCACAGAGGTATGACCAAACATATGTTGAATTTTGCGTTAAAACCAACTAAACCAAACCAATTCTTTTCTACTGGACATCTCATGAATGCTACTTTTAAGTATGATATTATTGTATTAAATATTTTTGTTTCTTGTTTACAATTGGCTTAGATCATAAGTCATTTATGTTTGACAACATCAAATAAATTTCTATATAGATACATATAACATGTCAATTGCCAACGGAATACACACCGCCTATGATGTATGAACGAGCAATAACAACACGATAGTGCACTGTTTAAACTAGGTCTGAAAGATATTATTTTAATGAAGATCTACAATCATCATGATCTTTATCTAATGTAATACCTTAAACGGAACATGTAAAATTGGGACAACAATCTGCTTTTACTAGTACAAACACTCATGGTCTAATGGATCGATGAGTAATGGTCCATGTAGTACACCATACATTGTACACATCGTCACATACGCATAGACGCTTGAATTAGTTTAGCGTTTTTTAAATTACCATTATCATGCCAACTCTTGGATATTGGAAAACGAAAGGTGTAAGTATTTCCTTCTTGCTTAGAGATTTTTTTTATTATTAAAGTAGATTATAAAAAGTGGGGTATTCTCCTGTTCTACATTACGACTACTTTCACCACCTAGAATATGCAACTCGTACATTGGTAACAGTACGAATATTTTGTAATTCTAATTTCAGTTAGCACAGCCGATTCGATTGCTTTTAACATATGCCGGGGTAGAATTTGAAGATGTACAATACGAACAAGGGCCTCGTAAGAATTAATATTCTCCCATTCTTTGAATTTTTTATACTATTTGTTATAAAAACTGTTAGATATTCTAAACAAGTTACGTAATATTGTTTTAATAATGTAATAGATGTATGCTTTACGCACAAATGTTTTATTTTTAATGTTACTTTGTTCAATGTCGCTAACAAATACTACACTACTTTGTAATTTTTCAGTTTAAAAAGGTCACGTGATATGCTTATTTGTAATTATGTTCCTGAATTTCAGCGCCGGATTTTAGCAGAGAATCGTGGTACAGTGTAAAACCAAAGTTTGGAGAAATTTTATCTTTTCCCAATGTAAGTGTTATTGTGCAAATATTTTGATTTATAAATTCTGCAGATAAAAACACCAACGATTTCTTTTTTAGAAAATATATGTTTTGGACTGGTCTTGCTTCTTGTGCCAGGTGAAGGTAGCATTTCATTGTTCAATATAAAAAGGAAGATGTCTGTACACAGAGCTATAAGCTTTATGTAGGTAAGCCGGTATAGTTCAAAAAGTAAAGTATGGAATACAGCCGATCCTGCGTAAAAAGCATTAAGGACATAAAACACCGAAAAACGTCCGTTCCGCAAAAAAGCGTACCTTTTCGCTATATATCGTTCACATTTTAAGTCATAGTGTTTGATATTCCATTAAGTTTCGACATATGATTTTATTCACTTTAAATTTGACGCAGGACGAAATAATAGCATCACAATTCTATCAGTACCTTAAAGTAAATACTTTAATTGTTATGATAATGAACAATTCATGTTAAATTGTCATACAAAAATTGAATAATTGAGCTATCTTTTCAGCTACCGTATTACATAGATGGCGATGTTAAAATTACCCAAAGTCACGCTATTTTAAGACACGTTGCCCGGAAATACAAGCTGGATGGTGAGACGGAGAACGAAAAGGCAGTTGTGGATATGGTAATAGAGGAGGCAATGGATCTCAGGCATGGTATCGTCAAAATAACGTATACAAGTGTGGAAAACTACGTGAGTGATAATATATCATTACTGTATCAAATTATTAGAAGATCTTTATTGTTAAATTACTCATAGAATTTTATCTCGATATTACCTAGGTGTTAAGATTATACGTTACACGAATAAGAATATTCTCACATACATGTAGAATGGGCAAAACAGAGTACCAAGCAGTGGAAGATAGTGTTTATGTTGTAACACCAAACATAAAGAAGATGAATATCATTTTGTATTCCCAGAGTAATACTAGTAAGATGGGGATTGCGTTCCATGAACGTTACTTGATTTTTTTCGCTAATAAGTTTTTATTCTATTTTTCATTTCGCTGCTAAACTTTTTCAGGAGAAATGGAAACCAGATTTCTTTAAGAATCTTCCGCCAAAACTAGAACAGTTTGAGAACCATCTAGGTGTGAATGATTGGTTTGCTGGGCACACTGTAAGTTTATCTTTATCAAACTTAACCATGCTGATACTGAAAATCTGGTCATTAGTATTGAGCCAGACAAGCCCTGCAAAAATTATTTTCTATAAAGTTTAAGTCAAATTTCACAATAAGAATTGAATGCATTAATAATATAATAATAATTACATAAAATTATTATATGCACAAATATTTGCAGTACCTATTTTACATATTCTTCGATGTTTGAAAATTGTATTACATAATTATGTACATACAGTGTATATATAATTTCAGTTAGTGTGGTTTACCACTTTGATCACAACATACAGGATCTTTAATCCTTGTTTTTTCCTTTACAACGAAAATAAATCATTACTTATCGACGATATGTCCTTATTAATTCAGAATGAACAGTATTTCTTGTTTGTTTACTGTTGTTTTTATTTATAACCAAAATTATTCTTTGTTTTACTTATGAAGAGAAATATTCCTTGTTTATTTATAACTAAAATTATCCTTTGTATATTCATAATGAGAACTATTCTATTTCTAATTTTAACCTTTTTAACTA